ATAAGAATGGGAAAAAGCCTCCTTTATGCAATTTTTTTAAAAACAAAACAGATTTCACCAAAATGGGGGGGGGGGGGGGGGAAATGCATCATTTCAGTGAGCAGCTACACTTGCTTTAAATGGACTATGGGCTAAGGAATGACAACATAAGAATAATCTACATAAATGCAGAACAATTTTAAGACACTTTAAGTAGACTGGATTTAATAAAGGGAACCATAGGTCAAACAATGGAAATGCTGTTTATTGTAATCTAATGATTTAATGTTGCTAAACCTATTTAAAAATACAGGGTTGTAATAACATGTTCATAGGTACAAGTAATATTTTTTTTTTAATTAAAGAAAGGTTTTGAACTTTTCAAGAGGGTAACAAGGGAAAACGGCAGGACTTCACTGCCTTGCAAAAGGGTAACTTGGATTTGTAACTATTTGCCTGATTTCCCTGTGTTTTTGCTTCCTCCTAATGACTGAAAATGCTACGTAGTTTTTCCTCACCCTTTTTCCAATTCAAGTGGATCTTTGACCCCTAAATAACAGAAAATATGATGCTCACAGAAATCTAACAGTGAATTAATTCTCTCTCTTTTCATTAATAGAAATCATATTAACAGCCACCACTGATAACTAATATATATGAATATTAACTTAAATTGCAAGAAGATGTGCTGCATTTCTGCCCATGGAGAAATAAGGCAAACAGCAAGGAGTAGCTCACTACATCCAACAAAAGCCCTTTCCTACAAGCAGCTAAATGTACATAAATGTATATAAATGTTCTATAGTGTATTCTCAATGTTTCCTACACACACAAACCATGACACAGCATTTGCTGCAATGAAAAAGATAACACAAAATTAGTTTGGTAAGACCATGTGCAGCATTTTCATAATAGTAATTTCCTATCCATGCTTCTGAGTTCATCAATAAAACGTATTTTATAAAGATAAGAGCAATGCAATGGAGCTATAGCACATTCTGATGCTCTTCCAACTCAACCAACTGTACTTTGTGTTCAGCTGCAGTAGGTGTTTCTTTAAGGTAACTCAAACATGAGCTGGAAGCATTTAGGAGACAGAAAAGCTCTTCTCTTGGCAAATAATAAAAATTATAAATTTGAAGGCTTACTTACTTTATCATAAAACTGGTGCCAACCAATGCTGGAAACAGCACACTCACTCTGCTGAGCTAGAGAACGTGAACAAATCTGTTGTTTTAGAAGACTGGAGGATGTAAAAATTTTGCAACTTACATATTTCATTGAACTAGACCTGCTGAGAAGACAGTCAGTGTTGGGTTTATTTTTTGGTTGGTTTGTTTTCCAAAACCACTCTGGGAATACATATGCAATTTTCCTCTTTGAAAGTTATGATGATTATGCATTAGTACAATTATATTGGCTAAAAATATTCCCAGTTCTAAACAAGACTCTGAAAGCAAAGCAAGCTGTGCTGCTCTGCGCACTGCCTCACTTTCTTTAGCAGCCTGTATAAACATTCCCTGGTGAAATATCAGTATCTCTAACACTGGAGGATTCTGCACAGTTTTCACTGGCTAACTCTCAAGTCACACCCCAAATATCTGTCCAGATTTCTGACAAAGAACCACGGGAAGAGTCCTGTGCGATTGTAACTGCCAGACAAATTGTTACATGTGAGAAATCTAGCAGGTCTTCTGGGCCTTAAATTGGAAATAAGGAGGTGAATTATTTTTTTCAGTATCTCTGGCTTTGAACAGCACGAAATCCAGCTGGTGAGTTAAGATATAGGGTGCAGCATTTCAGAAGACAACTGCATGAAAGCAAAATAATTTATTAGATAGAAGACAGTGAAATCTACTGCAAAGGATTTTCCAAAGAAAGGAAGAGAGAAGCGACTTCCCAGATGGTTAAAAGTCCACCACTGTCTAGAAGTGTTGGAATACTCTTGTGTCAGTGAGCATTGTTAAATCAGCTGCACTAAAATCATCCCTACATATATTCAGAAGTTTATTACCAATATAATACACCCAAGAGTTACACCGTGTGCCTGAGAGTGTTGTCCAAATGCTTCTTGAACTCAAACAGGCTAGGTGCTGGGACGTCTATGGGGAGCCTGTTCCCATGCTCAATCACCCTCTGGGTGAATGATATCCAATCGAAATCTCCCATGACTCAGCTTCATGTTGTGTCCTCAAGTCCTGTCACTGGTCATGAGTGTGAAGAGATCAGCACCTGCCTGTCCCCTTCTCCTCACGAGGAAGTTGTAACTGCAGTGTTGTAACTGCACTTTTCTCAGTCTCCTCTTCTCCAGGCTGAACAGATCAAGTGCCCTCAGCCACTCCTCTTAAAGCTTCCCCTCCAGACCCTTCACCAACCTCATTGCCCTCCTTTGGACTCGTTCTAACAGCTTGATGTCTTTTTTATGTTGTACTGCCCAAAACTGCCCACAGGACTCAAGGTGAGGCCACCCCAGAGCAGAGCAGAGCGGAACAATCCCCTCCCTCGCCCGGCTGGTGATGCTTTGCCTGATGCCCCCGGAACATGGTTGGCCCTCCTGGCTGCCAGGGCACTGCTGACTCAGATTCAACTTGCCATCAACCAGGATCCCCAGGTCCCTTTCCGTCTCATTCCCCAGTCTGTACATGCATCTGGGGTTGCCCCATCCCAGGTGCAGAATCCAGCACTTTCCCTTGTTGAACTTCCTGTGGTTGGTGATTGCCCAGACCTCTTGTTTGTCGAGGTCTCTCTGCAGGGCCTCCCTGCCTTCGAGGGAATCAAAGCTCCTCCCAGTTTAGTGTCCTCTGCAAACTTGCTCAGTATCCCTTCCAGTCCTGTGCCCAAGTCCTTGATGAAGATGTTGAAGAGCACAGGGCCCAAGACGGAGCCCTGTGGAACCCCACTAGTGACGGGTCACCAGTCTGATGTCACCCCATGCACTGTTACCCTCTGTGCTCGGCCCATGAGCCAACTGCTCACCCACCACACGATGTGTTTATCCAGTTGTGGGCTGGACATTTTGTCCAGAAGGATCCTGAGAGACAGTAACAAAAGCTTTATTGAAATCCAAAAAGATTATATCAACTGGCTTTCCCAGATCACTTAGGTGGGTTATCTTGTTATAAAAGGAAATTAGGTTCAACATGCAGGACTTTCCCCTTATGAAGCCCTGCAGGCTGTGACCCATGACTGCATTGTCCTCCAGGTGTTTTTCAGTAACTCCCAGAATAATCTTTTCCATTATTTTTACCAGGCACTGAAGTGAGACTGACAGGCCTGTGGTTTCTGAGGTCCTGCTTCTTGCCTTTCTTGAAATTCAGGACTGCTTGAGTTGAGTATGAACGAGTTTGCCATCAAGAACATTCTGCTTCAGTACAAATGCCAAAAAAAAATGTTTAAATGAAAAATATAGGTGTATTTTTTAGTTTGGGTTTGGATTTTGTTGTTTGCTTGTTTTTTCCCCCAGGCCTTTTTTTCTACAGTACAGCTGTCCTTGAGACACGCTTCTATCACAGGAAAGACTAGGAGCACATTTGGTTAAATGTGTGTGCCAGCTGCTTCATTCATGGGGCAGCTTTGGAGAGAAATTAGGCTCGCTGGAAAAGGCAGGGAGAAAAACTCTTTGCTAAGTAAAGAGGTGCAGGAGGTGATTATGTTGGAGAAATTAACATGGAGGAAAACAGGGTGTGAATTTTCAGTGAACTACTTTGCAGTACTTATCTTCTGCATGGATGCTTTGGTTCACATTCTATGCATGTGCACAGTGCATTAATAGGGCACTCTGCATAAAACCCAGCCTAGCCAGATCCACAACCAGCACGAGGATGAGATGCAGGATGAAGTGGGGATGGTACAGTGCCACACAGCCACAGCTACCCTGTCATCAGCACTGTCTGGAATCCCCACCCAGCAGGGCTCAGCTTTGTGATCACTGCAACACAACCTACTACACGGGTAAGTTGCAGTGATTGCAGCTTGGCAATAGGAAAAACTTCTGTCCCCCATTTTGTGGGTTGTTTTGGTAGACAGTGCAGCCTGTCCGAGTTCTGACCTATGCCATATGTGCAGCCAGAGGTATCCCTCTTCCTCTCAACCAGATGCTGCATCTGTGGAAGCAGTTCCTGTTCCTTTGCCACACAGTTGGCAACGCAGAGGGTTCCTCATGACACTTTACACACATGCCTTCTCCAAATAACCAGTGGCAGTGCACTCAAGTTGGAATGATGCATAGATTCTGCAAGTTCAGACTTGCAGAAACAAATCCAGAACTACCACTATGCCAATTGCAAACCACCTTATTTGAATTAAAGTATCACTGGTGTTCAGGGCAAGTGGAGAGAGTGTGGAGGAAAATACAAAGGGAAGGTGGAATTTGCTCAAGTCACTCAGGTGACTGATGGATGCAAGGTGATACCGAAAGTGGAAGCTATTAAATTCCATTTGCTGATTTTCTGTGGTTTTGGTGTTTGGGTTTTTTTGTGTGAAGTTAAGGGGGCGGATTGAAAAAAAAATCTTTATGTAAATTTGTTAGTGAATAATCATATAAACAATTGGGCTGCTACATTTGCAGACATGAATAATGGTGTCTTCCAAGCCAACAGGTAAAGGAATTTAGGAAGAAGGTGAGATGTATAAACTAGAAGGCATTTCACAATCTTTTTTGTCCTCTGCACTACAGTTCACTGCCTTCATCAATTGTACTCATGCAGCCGGTCCCTGAGGCTGACAAAGTGTGGCACACACGAAGGAAACCTTCGAACAGCCAAGCACAGAAACTTGTTCGGTTCCCACCTGCTGAAGTCAGTGTGACCTATGGAATAGTATATATCCTCCTGGCATTAAAAAAATGCAGGTTTCAGCCCTAAAAAAACAATCACAGCTTTAAGAAAACAGTGATCATTCGCTGCTATTCCCTTACTGACCAAATGTTGGGAGTTTTCTGTTGTTATGGAAATAAGTATTTTATAGTATGCTTTAAAATAAACCAAAATAGGTGATACTTTAGTCTGTCAATATGTACCTACCATGGTTTTCAGGTTTTCCATTCTGTCCTCTTCCCCCTGCCTCCAGAAAAAAAAAAAAATATTATATGTGTCAACATATATATATGTGTATACACATAAATCCTCCTTAGTTTTCACTTACAGGGTAACAGTGTTGGAATGCTAATGCTGGAAACACTGCACGAGAATATTCTCCCATTTGATGCAAAACAAAATCCTTGCTTTCACTTCCATTTCTAAGATCTGCAAATATTTTTATTACTTCTTACTCCGAAAATGTTCAATAACATTAATTGCTTTAAATCTTGCTGACTTTGCTGGTTCCTCTGTGCCTCTTGTCGCCTTCTTTCAAACTGGATTCCATGGGTTTCAATGGAGTTCTGTACAGTTCTGTTCTTGCAGATTTACACATGAGGTCCAAGCTCTTGCAGCAATATGATTATTGTTACATGCAGGACAGTGCCATTAGACAAAAATTCTGTTTGGCAAATACCTGCCACAATTATGTTCACCTTTATTCAACATGTATGTGCTCAGAACTTCCTTCTAGGTAGTTTATTCAAGACTTTCTGTAACACAATCTGCTAAGTGAACTGTCCTTAACACTTACAGGTCTGAGACGGGGAAATTTACCCTGAACAAACTTCATCCCCGGTAAGATGCAACATAAGAACTCCTGTATGACAGCCCCCCCCTTAGGCCTTATATAACCCTTGTGACATTGTGGCACATTGTGTTGAAAGCATTAGGAATGAAGCTGGAAGTTCTGCAGTATCATCTGTTTGGACTTGCCATCTGTGTGGCTCAGGAGTTACTACATGTATCACTTTCTCCCAGGCATCTGAACTGTGAGTCACACAAACCGAAAGCGGAAGGCAAGTGTGTGAACAAAGCAGATGGGACTGTTTATGGGGTTTCTCGTCACCTTTATTTATCCCTTGCTTTTTCTGTACGGCCCCACCCAGGGCAACTAAGTTTGATCCTCTGGCAAGTCAGGGTAGCTGCCACCTCAGCGACCACCTGGGACAGAGACTTGGCTGTTTAAGGACGAAACCTCTCGTGAGTGAGTCTCTGGAAGTCTCCACGACTTAAACTTCCACCTACAGCTGGAAGCCTGGCCATCTTGGTTTTGTTTGACTGAGAGGAGCAGGGATATCCCACCAGCGGTGTGCTTAGCATGATAAACACACAAAAATGTCTCTCTGGAACACTGGTTGTCCCAGGGCCGCCTGCAGCCCCGGACAGGCCGGTTCACAGCTAAAAAGCACATGCAGATGGACAAATAGTTTCCGACCCCAGAAAGCAAACCTGAAACTGGATCCGTGCAGACGGGCTCCTGGAGCTCACATGGTAACCTTCCTCCTCCGGGTCTGATTGCAAGCTTGAGGCTACAGTCTGTTACCAGCTCTTTTTTTTTTTTTTTTTTTTTACCTCCAACAAAATCTGAAATGTGGTCTGGCTGAGGGGAAACTGGGGAAAATCAATTTATTAAATAAAAAAAGCCAACCCCAAACAAACCAAAACGTTACGAGGCTACGTGTACATTAAACTACCGTCGTGTGGACGTGCCAGAAGCGGCTGCGGCTCGCACCCCGGGCCCCCGAGCGCCGGGGCTGTGTGAGGGGCTGCAGCTCGGCAGCGGGCAGCGCAGGGAGCAGCGGCCGAGCGGCCGCCATGGGGCGCTTACGCCAGTGGCGCAGGTGGCGCGGCGCTGCCCGGCGGCCCGGCCGGCCCGCGGCGGAGCGCCCTTCGTGAATAGCGGTGCTGCACTGCGGCGGCGGCGCGGCGCAACCAAACCCCCGCTCCCCACCGCCCACCCCGGCCGCGGCACCGCCCCCCGCCTCGGCTCTGATTGGCGGGGCGGGCGGAGCGCTCGGCGGCGATTGGTGGGTCCGCGCGGAAGGTGGGGTAGGTTGCGTGAAGGGTGATAAAGTTAGTGGGGCTGCCGGGGAGCGCCCGAGACGCGGCGGCGGCGGTCGGCGCTCTATGGAGGTGGCGGGGGGAGGCGTCGGGCCGGTGCTGCTCTTGCTGTGGTGATTCGGAGACTCGCCCTGTCCCGCGCGTTCCCCCCTTCCCCTCCCCAGCCCCGGTCCCCGGCTCCCTTCCCCTCCCCCCCCTTCTCTTGCCTTTTCCCCTGCCCTTGGTAGCCGCCGGGACCCGGGGAAGCTGACAAGGCCTTAGGGAAGGTGAGAAACGCGGGAAGCGGTGAGAGAAACGCGGGTCTGGGGCCGGGAGGGAGCGAGGACCGCTGCAGCTGCAGCCTAAAATGGCGGCTGCCCGGCGTGGCCGCCATTTTCTCACCGGCTGCTTCTCTGTGGCTCCCGCACAAAATGGCGGCCCGGGCCGGGGGCCGCTCCTGCTACCAGCTTTGGGAGCGCTGCTGCCGGCCTGGGGGGTCCCGCCGCTGCTGAGCGAAGGGCTACAGGAGCTGGGCAGCCCCCGCCGGGCGCGGAGGGAATGCTTGAGTAGCAGCGTTAGAGGTGAGAGTGAGTGAGATGCGGTCGCGTGGTGCCGGTCCGCAGGGGCGATTCCTTTCGAGGATTGGCTCGGCTGCAGGATGGTGGTCTGGCTGTGCTCTGTGGGCACCCGCGCTGCCCCACTTGCTCCCCTTGCAGAGAGTAGCCTCGGTTCACGTTACGGGATGAGGATCCTTCGAGATCCGCATTGCCAGGGGAACGTGGCGAGAGGATTTTCTAAGATACGGGGGTGTTAGATTTTTTTTTTATTGTTTATTCTTTTCTCTTGGTTCCTCGTGGGAGGGAAGAGCGGGGGCTGCCGAGGCGCCGCGTCAGCCGGGCAGCAGCCTCGCCCATATTTCCTGTTGCGGGGGTGGCGGTGCAGGGCGATACCGGGGGCGGACCGGGGGGGCCGTCGCCGTTCGGCGGCGGTGGAGCGGATCCCTCCCGGAGAACAAAGAGCGGGGAGCGGGAGGGGCGGGGGCGGCGGTGCCGGGCGGTACCTGCGGGGGGCGCCCTGCGCGCCCTCAGCCTTTTGTTCGCCGCCGCCACCATGTTGTGTGCGCTCCTCGTGCCCGCGCAGGGCAGGCGGCCGAGCCTCGGGGAGTGCTCGGCGCTGTGAGGGGCTCTTTGCGCTTCCCCCGCCCGGGCGTTGCTGTCCCCGGGGTTACCCACCTGCTACGTGAGAGCGGTGGAGTGAGTTTTTTTTTTCTTTCTGCAAGATAAAATTTGACGGTGGGGTGTGGGCGGTACCCTTACTCGTTATTTTGTAGCCTAGTAGGCAGTTTGGACACATCCCTTTTACTCTGTTAGGTAGTGTTTTGTGGTCTGGTGCTTATCGCTTTAAAACTTGGCTACTTTGTCTTTCCATAATTAATCATAGTTTATAAGCCATGTTAATAAAGGATTAATTATGCCGTGTTAAAAATCCGTACTTGTTATTTTCTGCAAGTGCTTTTCAGGGTGGACTGGGTAAATTTGAGGCTCTCGCTGTTTTAGTCCTTGATTCACTTATGTCCTTCCCCCGTTGGAAAACATGGCTGTAATGGTGAAATTGGCCCTTCTGTGATCATTCCAAGTATCGCGTAAATAAGAGTGTTCTTACCTTTTGTGAAGCTCAGTGTTTAAAGGTTTTCGTTCTTATACAAAATTTGTACTTTTATTGTAAGTTAGACTCTGTGAATGATAGTAAAACAACTATAATATGAATGCTTGGTTTGTCTTTCTAGGTTTTGTTTTTCCCCACCCCGTCAATTTAATTTTATTCTTTTGAAGATTCTTCGTTGTCAAGCCGCCAAAGTGGAGAGTGCGATTGCAGAAGGGGGTGCTTCTCGTTTCAGGTACTAATGGCTTTTGTTTGATGAACAGTTGACAGTGGAAACTGTCCTTTGAGGAGAATTCAGATTCTTGTAATGTTTGTACTAAAACTGACATGTAATCGAAAGCATTGAGGTTTTGAACTTACCAAGGATTACGTTGCTGTTTTTTTAACAGTGCTTCTTCAGGCGGAGGAGGTGGTAGGGGTGCACCTCAGCACTATCCCAAGACTGCCAGCAACAGGTATGTCATCTTGGTCCCTAATGTATTGTGATTTTAAAGCAGAGCATGCTTGATGATGAATACAGAACTGAAAATAGGGCAGCCTTAAAGTTGTACGAGGGACACCAACTGAGTTGATAACCTTATAACGTTCTCTAGTCCGTGGCTGCTGAAAGTGTGCATCCTGGGTGATAGGAGGTGCACAAACTTACTTGCTTCCCCTCAGTTTAGAGGATTTCCTTTGGGGTGTGGGGTTTTATTATTGTTAAATGAGTACTTTACTGTGCAGCAGATGCCGCTGTGTTCGCAAGGGCTAGTGTGTGCTCCTGACAAAGCAAGCAACAGAGTTGGTCTGAGTAAAGCAATACTGAAAGGTTAAAAGGCCAGTTCTTTAAATCATTTGTTTAACAGTCACGTTCTTCAAAATTTTACAGCGAGTTCCTGGGGAAAAACCCAGGGCAAAACGCTCAGAAATGGATTCCTTCACGAAGCACTAGACGAGATGACGACTCCGCAAACGACAAAGAACGACATGATGCAATCTTCAGGAAAGTAAGAGGGTAAGTTCTTCACAAGGCTACTTCTCTCCTTACTGCTTTCATTAGCAATGTGTATTGCTAATAAATGGGCTGGAGGAAAGAAGGACGTGGGCTGAGTTTGGGGGAGGTGAGTCCTATGGAAAGAAGACAAACGGATCATTTAGCAGCAACAAACACTTAAAGCCTTTAAGTGAGGACTGGAATTTTCAGCACGTTCTGAAGATCTCTCTATCAATAGTTAAAAGGAAAATTGAAGTTATTTCTTTTTATTAGGCTTAAAGATAAATGTCTCTAAAATGACTTGTAGTGTGCTTACAATATCTGTATTCTTGTTTTTGTTTGTTCCTCTTTAGCATACTAAATAAGCTTACTCCTGAAAAGTTTGACAAGCTATGCCTTGAGCTCCTCAATGTGGGTGTAGAATCTAAGCTCATCCTAAAAGGGGTCATACTGCTGGTAAGATGGCTGCATTTCTTTAAACTACAATTTTCTCGCATGTTAGAAACCAGAAGGCTGGTTGGTTTTGGTGGGATATAGAAGTGGCATATTTAATGCTTCTGTGTATTTGGATTATCAAACACCACCTCACACCTGCTTTCTGTGTGAGAAGGGTTATACTAAGGAGGAAGTAGATTTAATGTTTTAACTTCCTTGTTTGGAAGTTTCAAGAATCACTAAATGTGATTAAGGATTCTATGACAAGCTTTTTAAAAAAATATAAGATGCTAGTTAGCAGTCCTGTTTCTGTGCCCCTTCACTGGCATAGAAACACACCGGCCCTTCCTGTTTTCCTGAGAAGCAGGCCTCTTGGCCTTGGAAAGGCTACTGCAGGTGACCTCTTGGGACACTGATGTAGCTGTTATGTCACTTTGTTTAATCTGAGATCGGATTGGCACTACTAACATAGGTGTTGCGATGATGAGTTTTGTTGGCCAAGGATTATAGAGGCTCTTGAATAGCACAGAACAGCTTTCTCCCTTCGTTTCAGACTAGTGTTGAACTGCATTATTTCTGTGTTTGATTTAGTGAAAAATTGTTCTGGATCAGAATGGTAGTAATGCCTTTTGTCTTGCATCTTGCTTTCCTAATAACGTTTGCATCCGACGTGCTGCCTTACTCCAAATCTGTCTGTTCAGATCGTAGACAAAGCCCTTGAAGAGCCCAAGTATAGCTCGCTGTACGCTCAACTATGTCTGCGACTGGCAGAAGATGCACCCAACTTTGATGGCCCATCAGCAGAGAGTCATCCAGGACAGAAGCAAAGCACAGTGAGTGTATCTGTCAATATGGAATGATCGTTTTTGCTAGCATGTGTTGTTTCACTGATTAGCTTAATTGTTTTCTTTGTTCTCTTTTTTTAGACATTCAGACGCCTCCTAATATCTAAACTTCAAGATGAATTTGAGAACCGAACCAGAAATGTTGATAGTAAGTTTTAAAACCACTTTCATACAGCATTTGTCTTCTTTTCCCACAGCCACGCTAAACAGGCTTCTTTGTTTTCCAGTCTATGATAAGCATGATGGTCCCCTCCTCCCTGAGGAGGAGGAACAGAGAGCCATTGCCAAGATCAAGATGCTGGGGAACATCAAATTCATTGGAGAACTTGGCAAGCTTGATCTTATTCATGAATCTATCCTTCATAAGTGCATCAAAACAGTGAGTATTCAGATTGGGCACAGCTAGGAGCAAAATAGGACTTTAAAATAGGACTTAAAAAAAATTCTTATTCTACTTTGGGAATGTTGAAGCATAAAACAGAGATGTTTCCTGACTATCACCTGCCCTCACTGTTAAAAATGATCAGTCTTTTGGCATTATTAGAAGTTAAATTGGCTTGGTTCAAAGCCGTGGGAATTGTCTCTAAGAGAAGATGTAGTTTGGCCCAGAGAGAAATACCACAGGTACTTCAAAGTACAGTACACTTAGG